TTATTATTATTATTATTATTATTATTATTACTATTATTATTATTGTTATTGTTATTTCTTTGCTGTTCATTTTGCACTTCAGATTTCTGATATGCTCCCTGAGTCAGACCGAGTGAGTTTCTTTTCTCTCCATTTCCGCCATCGTCTCATGCTTCGTGTAGATAGATGCTCGCAGAGGCTTTGTGCTTTCCCATAGTGGGCCAGAGTATGTCAGGGTCTGATGTTGCTAGTGTGGTTGTGTTATTTTTATCCGTACGCCCTGGGGTCATTTTGTTCCCCCGGGGTTGTATTTTTCGCATTTTACAATATTTCTAGTGTGAAGACATCTTTGAAACTTTCAGTATTTCTCAAAAAATCATTTTGACAAAAACTAAAACATCTGTCGTCCTTTTCTTCTTCCTTCTTTTTTTGTGTTTGTTACTCTCTTGCAACACCTCTGAGCTTCAGCACTTGTATAGACTTATTGTGTTGCAAGTGCCGTAAAACTTTTACGAAAACTAAACTAAACAGGAGGTTATTGGGGTTGTTTTGTTTTGTTTCTCTCTAAGTATTTAATTTTTGTTGGTTTTGCTAGTAAGATTGACATGGTATCTAGCAAAGTGCTTTTCTCATGTTATTGGTTGTATAAGTTTGGGCTCAGTTTTGATGGTACCGCTCTTGCATGGTGGCTGTAGTTAGGGTTTGACTCATGTATATCTGGTTGCCTGAAATCATTCATCTGTGTATGTTTGAAGTTCATTGCTTATTTCATGTATTCATTATCAAGATGTGCTTAATATTATTATTATGATTTCAAATGTTGGTTGTTGTTGTTGTTTTTTTTGGGGGGGGGAGAATTGTGGTCAACACCAAAGCGTTTTAGTGGTTGCTTTTTTTTTCTTTTATTTGCCAGTATCCTTTGTAAGCCAAAAATCTTTTGAATACATACGGAACTGCCTCTCTTCTTTATGGTCTTCTTCTTCTTCCTCGTTCTCGATTCTTTACTGTGATATGTTTGGCTTCAGTATCATATAAATATTCTGTTACGTTCATGTTGTAAATATAGTCATAAGTAACTCACTGCTTTACATGATTGTATTGCCTGATTTTTATTTTTTTTAAATATTTGCCAACGTTCATTTTTTTAAAAATCGTTCTTTTCACTCATCAGTCATTTTAATCCAAATGTTGGGGTTTTTTTCGACTCCAAGATAATTACTTTTAAAATGTCAAGACTTTTTTTTGTGTACCATGATGATGATGTCCCATTACTGTTTCAGTCTTCTGTTTATTACAGCCAGACGGCTGTTGTTCTTTTTCTTTCTTCTTTTTCTTTCTCTTTTGGCACCGTTGCACTTTTTCTGTATCTATGTTTCATCTAGCCCTGCTCACTCTTTCTCTCTTGTATCATGTTTCATCCAGCCTCACTCACTCTTTCTCTCTACGAAAGATCTATGAAAGATGTATGAAGGGATCCGAAAAGTTGAGGAATTTTTAAAATACGTATTTTAATTTAAGTAGAACCTCTGTCAAAATTGATGTAAAATGAATTGATAGATGAGAACAATGAAGTTTCTGTTACAACAAAAAATAGACTGACCTTCTTAATTGTTCCTGTTGATGCTATAACCACTGTAATAACTCTATCATATGTACGACTTACTGTTCAGATGTGCACCTTGCTACTATGTAATATGTCATATATTATCCACCTCTCTGGTGCCTCTTCTTTCCTATCACACATCTATCGTCTTTATCTCCCCTCCTTCTTTTTTGTCTTTGTTACGCCCTTGTAACACCTCTTATCTTCGGCACTTATATGACCTTGTTGTGCTGCAAGAGCCGTAAAACTCTTACTAAAACGAGAGTTTATGCTAGGCCTACAGTTGTGTTTTCATCTTTTGGACAATCTATGTACTGTTTTTGTATATTCAGTAGTTTTGCAAAGGCGATACGCCATTCTAAGAACTGTTGTACTATTTTTAGAGTCAGTATAGGCCTATAGTTTTTCAGAGGAGATGTGCCATTCTAACTTCATCAAGTGCCAGATTTGCCACATTCATCGGCGATCATGGTTCTCCCTCCATTCATTACTTTGCTTGGATGCTCTAGAAAAAGCTATATATTGTCCTGATCTTTCCCTGTCACCCTTTTGTTTAGACTCTCCAAAGTTGCTCTGGGTCTACCCCTACCTCGTTTGCCTTCAATTTTGCCAGTGATCGAGAGCTAGATGTCCAGGGCTTTTATGTCTGTTTAGGCACCCCAGAAACTGCATGTTTACGTCTTTTCTTGATCCTGTTATGCACATGTGCTACTATTACACAGGGGGTGGAGGAGTTAATTACATCTTCCAAGCTAATATATGTTGCGCTGCTTGATTATTTTCTTTTAGTACAACTTGCACCATCTTAACTGTATCATGCCCCAATTTCTGAAGAGAACTTTCCTCCTCACCTGATTACTGTGTGTGGTCTCAGAGTTTTAGAGACTTATAATTGTCCACATTTCAATGTTCACTGTTTGTACACACTGGCTTCTTTATCTTCGGCCTGCTGCTAAAATGTACGAAGCCCAAAATTGTGATACTTTTCAAAATTGCAGTTTCTTTTCATCTGTGGCATTGGTTGTGTGTGCTCAAGTCATATTCGGTGGAAATTTAAAGTCTAAATTTAAAAACCAAATTAATACAAATAAAAGTAAAATAATAACCCCCCCCCCCCCCCCCCCCCCCCAAAAAAGACCAAAAAAAACCACCCCAAAAAAGGAACATAATGCAGGTACAAATATTTTTTCCATAAAAATTAAAGTCTTTTCTCTCTCCTGTCAAATATTTGCTTTCTGGACATACATATGAATAGCTGGGCAGTGTTCTGTTGGTTACAGATGACATATTGTTGTCTCCCCTTGTCAATGTTTAATGGAAGAAAGTGTTGTTGCCTCATGGTTATAGAAAGTGTCATAGTTATTTGTACGCTTTAGTCAGAAAAATAGTATGCTTTATATTTAAGGCTGTGCCTGATCACACAAGTTCACTATGCCTACTGTTTTTTATTGCCCATGTTTCTTTGAAGAACACATGTTTGTAACACCTCTAATCTAATATCCTTTATTTATATTAATTATATGTCACCTATTTGTGTTGCAAGTGCTGTAAAACGCTTACAGCTCCAGTGGCTAAGTGAGTAGTGTGTTTAGACTCAAGAGTAAAGTCAAGCAAGTGTCGGTGACTCGGGGATCAGATGGGTGGTCACTGTGTCCTTGAGCAAGACACGACAACCTTAGCTAAAAAAACCAGGGCGCTGCACAGTGGCGACCAACAATAGCATGGTTGTGAAATTGTTCTGTACTGGTGTAACATTGTGTGTATTTATGTGTGTAAATATCAATGTGTATGCATCTATGTATGTATTTATAATCATATATCTATGTAGGCCTACGTATGTATGTTTGTCATTGTAAACCAAATTGCCCTTCAGGGATCAATAAAAGTGGGGTTTTTGGGGGGGTTTTTCATTTCTAAAGCTAAAAGGCAAAATATTATAAAGATGCGTGGAGATATATATGGTCGCTTTTAAGGACAAGCCGGCTAACCCAGATTTCGGGGGTTTCCAGAAATCTTGACCTACACCAAAAGTGGGCATTGTTCTACCAAAAGGAGAAGTTTGGTTTCATTGGCGTTTATTTATTTGTTTGGTTATAGAGAAAACTCTCTTTGTCTTTTAAAGAAACTGAACAAGGGGCAAAAACTTTTCCTTCGATTTTCTCAAAACAGCATTTTACGGGATAGCCCCCTAGTGCTTAAATGCGACCAATATAATCACCCATCAGTCATGATCTCGCTTGAACGTTTCTTCTGTGTGTGTGTGTTTGCCCAGGCCAAGGATTTGCAGCAGGAGCTGGAGGAGGTCACGCAGAAACTGCTCAACGTGGAGCGCCAGCTGTCGGCCGCCGACACGGGCAAAGGTCAACTGGAGGACACCAAGGACAAGTTGGTCACCATTCGCAACCAGCTCGAGGGGGAGAAACTGCAGAGGTGAGCTCGCTCAGACAGACAGACAGTCTGGTGTGACAAAATGGTAAAGGTTTAACGCCCCTATCAACAGTTAGGTTTTCATTGCAGTCCTGCCTGACTCCGGATATTACTGGAAACCAGTCCGATATTCCACTGGTAGTGCGGACTGCACTTCTGCTGTTTGCATAGATAGCCCTGATGTTGTCTAGCAGTTGTCCCTTGATGTAGTACTGCTCAAGAATCTTCCATAGCTTGTTTCTATTTACTCGATCGAAGGCTTTTTTCTGATCCACAAATACGAGATGAAGTTCTTGGTCGTATTTCAATGCCCTCTCAGACAGTTGTCAGAGTACAAAAATTGCATCAGTGCACCCTCTTTCTCTTCTAAAACCAAACTGGACATCACTGAGAAGATGTTCGACTTTTGCGCGAGTGCGTTGCTCTAGGATCTTTGCATACATTTTCCCCTCATGGCTGAGACAAGATATGCCTCTGTGGGTGTTAGTCTTTCTTGCTGCCCTTTTTCTTCCGTATTGGCACCACTAGCGCATTTTGCCAGTCTGCTGTTACTTTTCTCTCTTTCCAAGCTTTCTGGAAGATGGCGATTTTAGCAGCTGACTTGACCAGACACACTAAACATATTTATACAATGAACGGAGCCACTGTGCTGAAGTTGGTGGGTGCTGTGGTGTGGCTTGCTTCTTCTTTCCAATCAAATATCTGTCGTCCTTATCCATCCTCCTTCTTTTTTTGTGTTTGTTACTCTCTTGTAACACCTCTAATGTTCGGCACCTATATGACCTTATTGTGTTGCAAGTGCCGTAAAACGCTTACTAAAACTAAAACCACCCAACATGTTCCTACTCCCCCCCCCCCCCTGGGGATATGTGCTATACAAATGCTATTTATTATTATTATTCCCAAAGGGGGGACATTAACCATGTTCTTATGCACAGTAGAATTGTAAATGGGCTGATTCATCAATGTCATGCTCATGACCTTGCCTGAACTGCAACAGGGAACTGCTGCTTTTTCTTTCCTAATCCTTACTATCATCATTTTTCCTCTACTTCTTTTGTATGTCACACTCTTGTGACCCACTATTTCCGGGGTGCCTGGATAGTCGAAGCAGACTTTGTGCTGTTGAAGCAAGAGAGGTGGGCAGAGTAAGTCTGATTCCTTGTATGGACTTCTCTGTTGACATCCACCCCTTGGCGCTCATATGACCTTATGCAGTTGTGAACGCCTTTAAAATCTCTACTAAAACCACCCGACATGTTCCCGCCATCAGAACGCTGCTGGACCAGACGGTGGCGGAGCTCAAACACCAGGTGGCGCTGCTCAAACAAAGAGAGGCCAAAGTGAGCTCGGAGAACAAGGAGCTGCAGCACACCATCCTTGACCTTGAGGGACGGCTGAACCAGTTGCAGGACACTTCGTCAGCTGTGTCTTACGACCCGGTGAGTGAGTAGTGCCTAATTAAGTGGGTGGGTGGTTAGAGCTAGGTTGCGCACTTTGGTGTGGTTTGCTCCTTCTTTCCAATCAAACAAATGTCTGTCGTCCTTACCTCTCCTCTTTTTTTCTTTACTTTCCTCTTTTTTTTTTCTTTCCAATCAAACAAAGGTCTGTCGTCCTTACCTCTCCTCTTTTTTTTCTTTACTTTCCTCTTTTTTTTTCTTTCCAATCAAACAAAGGTCTGTTGTCCTTACCTCTCATCACCTCTTTTTTTTCTCTCCTCTTTTCTTTTTTTTTCTTTCCAATCAAACAAAGGTCTGGCGTCCTTACCTCTCCTCTTTTTTTTTTTCTAATTATGTTACTTATCTTTTATGTTTCCGGGGAAGCTGAGAATGTTCCTGAATGTTCTGATTGTGTCTTCTGGGGTGATAATAGTTGTAAAGTGCTTAAAGCCTGACATAGAGCATGGATATGCACTATATTTACAATAATTAGTAGTAGTAGGAGTAGTAGTAGTAGTAGTAGTAATAATAGTAGTAGTAGTGACGGTAGCGATAGCAGTAGCAGTAGTAGTAGTAGTAGTACAGTGGTAATAGTAGTAATAGTAATAGTAGTAGTAGTAGTAGTAGTAGTACCTATGAAGTTGATGTATCAATTTCCATGAGGCTAAAATCCGAGCAGTAACTCATTTTGCCACCACACCTCGCGTACAATTTCGACTTAACAACAAAATTGTTGGTCCGACTCCTCAGCAAATCATTTCTGACGTGGGCAAGAGGTCACTGATGGACCAGATCGGCCGTCTCCAGCGGGAAGTCAAGGACCTTCAGTACGAGCTCTACAACGTGAGCGAGCGACGCGACGTCGACGTCAAGAGGTATGAGGAGAGGAAGTTACGGACAAAGGAGAAGCTGATGAAAGCTAGGTACGTTGTATAGATATATAATATGTGAGGCAGTATGATGAAATCAGGCGCCCGTCAAAATAATGAAATCAGAGAATTTTGTCTTTTTCCACCGGTTTTGCAATTTTTTGGTCAAACTTTTGCTTTTTGGTTCAATACCTTTTAAATCTATTGAAAAACACATTTCTGTGAAGATTTCAGTGAGGTGAACAAGTTGGTAAAAGGCACACACAAAAATGTAAATTATTTTTTTCCAAGGTCTCTCAAGCTATGTAAAACACCAGGCTTTGGCGGCCATTTTTTCGCTGATTTTACATCTGAAATCAGGCAACCCCCACCTCAATCAGTTGCAAATATCTCGACTTTTAGTCAAGATAGATGGGTATTTTTTTAATCGCAAGCAAGACAAATGAACATGCTTTAAAATGGTACCAATAATTCCATATATCAAAAAATTAACGAGCGCCTGATTCCACATCGTAAGACATATCAATGGTGACGTATCACTATTTTAAAATTACAAAGTTCTATCTGACAGTTTTGGCCGTTTTGAGTTACTGAGACCATGTGGTCAAAACCAAATGTTCTGTCTGTTTCATCGAAATCATACGAATATTAAGAAAAACTTACTAAAACAATCACCTGTCTAAGACAAACACTTTTATCCCTGACAATAGGTAGTCGTTCTTGGACAATTTCAACTGTACTTTATACTTACTCCGACTATAGGTAGTCGTCTTGGACAGTTACTTTGTTTCCTTTACTTTATCCGTCCTCGTGTACCTCAAGGGCTTACTTTACTTTACTTTCTCCGTCCTCTTGTACATCTAGGGCTTACTTTACTTTACTTTATCCGTCCTCTTGTACCTCTAGGGCTTACTTTACTTTACTTTATCCGTCCTCTTGTACCTCTAGGCCTTACTTTACTTTACTTTATCCGTCCTCTTGTACCTCTAGGGCTTACTTTACTTTACTTTATCCATCCTCTTGTACCTCTAGGGCTTACTTTACTTTACTTTATCCGTTCTCTTGTACCTCTAGGGCTTACTTTACTTTACTTTATCCGTCCTCTTGTACCTCTAGGCCTTACTTTACTTTACTTTATCCGTCCTCTTGTACCTCTAGGGCTTACTTTACTTTACTTTATCCA